CAGGTCAAGCTGTTGTTCACCATCTTAGCTGTAGAGGGTGCAGGGTCACTGGCCCTCATGTGGGATCCGAACTGGGGCCCTGCTGCTCAGAGCTGGTGTCCCAAGCCAACTCTTAACCAGCACGCCACTCAGCCAGCCCAACAGGCTGGGTTGTTTTGATCAACAGTCTCACAACCACAGCGGCCATTGAGGAGAAATACTGTATTTCTTCTCAGTCTTGCCTTTTGAGGAGAAGCAAGAAATAAGGAGCTAAATCGTGCAGGGAAAGAAATGCCATAGGGAGAGCGTTGATTGAAAATAAATCTGGGTGACAATCAGGGATGACAAAGGGCGATATCAAATGTGAGAGCATATTTTAGTTGGTCCAAGGAGGTGAACCTATGACACAGTGGGTCCTGTGTTGTCTTGGTGCCAATTGACCTCCTGTTCCTCCCTTTCCCTTACTCTCACCAAAATTAAAGTCATGATCTCATGACGGGATTTCTAGAAATTTAGTCTGATACAAAGGCAATCCTTGGGACAAAAGACTCAGAGACACGAATGTCCCTGTCCTCCCTGAGACTAATTACTGAGAAACCTGAGTCTCTACCAGCTCATGATGGCATTTTCTAGTCTGGAGCACATAGTGATGCTAATTAGCTGCTGGGACAAGAGGGATTAAAAACAATAGTTCACACGGCCTCTCTCTTAAGAATACTGTAAAAGCAAAGCCCAGTAGTCTGCCAATTAGTGCTCCTGGCTGTGAAATACCAGAGCAAGTGATCTTGGCCTCTAGGCCCCAGAGAGACTGAGCTGGACAAAAGCCTGTTGTTATAATGCTTCTCTGGTCATTAGCGCCGCCCAGGGGGCAGTGTGAGTGTGGATCACTCCCAGCAATGGCTACAGAAGCAACTCCATAGCGACCAAAGGATGGGTTGAAGACTGTATCACTGGATATGGAAACTCCACCCCTCAGTTCTCACTGCCTAGTACAGATTTTTTTTTTTCCATATGATAGCACTTGGTCAATGGTGACAGACTGAAGAGTGTTCAATTTGTACCTCAGTTTTGGTTCAATTTGTCTTTCAGTTTGTTACTTCCTACGTCATTCTCTGAATTTTATTTCCATGGATCGGGGGCTCTTGCTTGACAAATGCCTATTGCCAGGGACACAGGCAGAGACAAACTCCTCATAGTAATAATCATGCCTTGCACACATCTGGAGCTTTGCAAATATTCCAGAGAACATTCACATATATTCCAGAGAACGCTAAGAGAGGTACAACATGTAGCAGAGGGGCAGGGGGCATGGATAGGGCACGGATCCAGAAAGCAATACTAGTAATCTCAGGGATTTAGGGAAAGTGTGAAATGTTTTATTAGAAACACTTGGTCAAAGGGGGCAGAGCGGGAAGGAAGAAATAAATCTCTCTAACGTGTGAAGGGGAAAACACAGTTTTCATTTGAAATAAAATGGAGGTTCAATACTTAATGTAATCGATTTCCAAACTTAGCTTTCTTGACCAACCCCCATCAAACGCTCTTATCAATCAAATTGTTGAAGAATGTGAGTGTTCTCCATGGTTAAATGCAGAAAAGCCTTTACCCTTCTCTGAAATTTTGTATCTGAAAACTCCACTTGTTAGTGACCTTCTTAGTACTGTCTCAATTAAAAAATATTCTAAAAGAGAAGTCTCTAGAATGTTTCAATGACTTTTTCCACCTTACAGTCAACTCCATCACTGAGGTATCTGTGATCTTTTCTATTCACAGTGCACACTCAAGCTGTAGCTGGAAACCAAAGATGTATGGTTCCCTTGCAACCCTACAGGCATTCATTAGTCAAAGAAACTTCAGTAAAAGGTAGTTGAGAAATGGTGGGTTTTACTGTAATTTCCTCCCTAAAAACCCACAAGAACTGGGGGTAAGCTGGTAAGAAATCTGGATCTAGGCTGAAATTAGAAACTGTTTGATAACTTCAAACCACAAAGCAGGGACCAAATCAAGTGATGATGCTGAAATGGAAACATGCTTTCCAGACCTAAAGCAGAGTGTAGAAATCTCTGGAAGTGAATATGGGGATTTTGAGGAGTCCAGAAAATGTTGTTTTGCTTGAAACAATGATTAAAGGTGTGAATAGGCTTTGGGGGAACAGATGGCCAACATGTGTGTGGGGCCCAGGTTCCATGTTGCAGAGTGGCAGACAGGACCAGGGTAAGTGTACATGCCATCTGCCATGATTCTGAGCTGGACTCCTAGCCTGTTGAAACCACTGGAGGTAAGGTGGAGTGGGAGAGAAAGAAGTAACCTGCTTGTAGCTGCTGACCCACGTTTTCTAAAGTGGAGAATAAACATACATAAAATTACTAACCAAACGTCCTATGACTATAGGCTACACTAAGAATTTCACCAACTTCTCACCTGGGCCAGCTGCTTACTTTTGTGGAGGGAGGACACCCAAGGATAAGGGTGGGTGTACTCCTAGGGCTAAAGGCACTGCTGATTTAGGGAGAAAGAGTTCTGAGCCAGCTTCTTAGATGTGAAGTTGTCTGATGTTTCATCCCTGTATATGCTCCTTCACTTGAACACACACACGTACACACACATGTGCACACACACAGTCATACATGTATGGATGCTACTGTCCACTTTTGAGAAATAGAAGAGAATCATAGTTCAGGGGAAGAATTATCCAGGGGGGAAAAAACCCAGAAGAATTCTCTATACAGTCACAGATAATAAAACAAAAACAGTAACAAGGAGACGATTTGAGAAAAACCATATAAATCCAAAACAAAAAGAGAAATTAGCTAAAGTTTACTGGAGAGAAAATGAGAGATGTGCAAGATTAAGGAAAAGCCAATAAATACACATCATTTTCCTCTCTGAAACAGACTGAAAATAAAGAAACCTCAACAACTATACCATAAAACAAAGATTTGTTAAATAAAGGAAGACCCAATTCTGAAGACTGAGGGAACATATTAAGTTTTGAAAAGAAGCCAAGGGAAATGATACAGAAAAACCAGCCTGGAACACAGTATAGTGACGTTAATGAACTTCAAGACCAAAGAAAGAATCCAGTGAACAGCCGGCTTCCCCCTTCCTACTGTAAAGTCATGTGAAAATGGAATAAATCACCTGGTCCTGGGTATATATGCTGTCAGAATACAAAGAAACAAAGTGTATATGCTTCTGAGGGAAGACATTATGACCCAAGGATTCTGTACTGTGGGAAATGTTCACATATAAAATACAAGGGATGATATTCTAAAATATGCAAAGACATAAGAGTGAGAGCTCTTATAGAAAGAAATACTTAGAGATGAATCTGGTCAACTAAGAGATAAATCAAAATAAAAATTTTGGAATGGGAAAGTCAGGATTCAAAGGAATTGGATATATACTAAATCATTTAAATAGAAACTAAGTTAAACAACTCAGAGAATACTGGTTCTAGAATAGAATGTAAATATTATAAGAATTATAGAGCAAAAAAAGGAAAGATAGAAAGGTTAAGTAGCTAGGAATATAAGTATACTAAATTTGCTTATTCTTTTCAAGTAGAGAATGATTATTTTATCTAAATGATAAACTTTAAAATATGAGTTGTATGATAAAGAAATTCATTTTTAGCTTCATCCAATAAGACAAACTTACAAAACAATATTATGATCTCACAAGTGTAAAAATGCAAATATGTAGAAAACACCTGGAATGATACACACCAAATGGTTACTAGTGGCTTCCTTTGGGAATAATTGGATCCAGGTGTGTGTGTATGTGTGTGTGTGTGTGTGTGTGTGTGTGTGTGTGTGTGTGTGTGTGTGGTGGTATGGGGAGTGTGGTCTGGGATAAAGAAAACAGTAGATTTTTAACTTTATATACTTCTGTACTGTTTTTTTTCTTTTGAATAAGTGTATCTTACTTTCACAATATAAAAAAAAAGAAAAAATAAGTCATTAATAGTGGAAGCATCAGAACTCTAGGATTTAAAATTTTCAATTCCTTAGTTGCTTCGTTAACTAATAGAGAGGCAAGAGGGGCAGCCTTGATCTAGGTGCTTCTTTTAACCTTGACTTCTAATAACACAGAGTATAAGACACAGGTACCGATATTCACAGGGCTACAGAGAGTAGATATGCAATAAAACTGGAAGGAATATATGAATAAAGTATAAAAAGCCATATGAAGAGCAGTCTTTTTCTGGTCTGACATTTCAGAGTTGACCTTTCTTTGACTTTTTTTTTTTCTTAGCAAGAGAATAATACATAAGCTTTGAAAAAATTATACAAAGAAACACATATTGATAGATGTATGTATAGATATACATATAAACTGAGAGAATAAGCTATTGAGAAAATATTCACAAATGTTTAATGGAAGAAATGAATTAAAGACACCTTCCCTAAGTGAAATTCAGTATTAAATGAAAAACATTTCATTAATTCTCTTGTTGATTTGGTAGAAAATATGGTTAAAGGTTTTGTCTGCCTGGTTCCTATTTCTAAATGACAAAATTATTTATCCATATGTTATCCAAAATAATGAGGAAAGCTATGCAACTATAAGGAATTAAAATCATAAGCAAAACAAATTAATCATTAGTTCCTGAAGTAATTTCTTGGCTGCTGGAAGCTATTTGGAAGCTGTAATCATGAAGACATAGACACTTCTTCAACATGTTTTGGTTACTAGTACATAACTTTAAGGCATTAGATATTTAGTTCTTAAAGGAATCAAAGTCTTTTTTTTTTTTTTTTTGCTTTACTGAGAAACTGCAACTAGAATTTATGCACATTTTGATGTGAAACAAGGATTTATTGTTGGTTTGTTTGATAAAGGCATCATCAACTGAGAAGGCAGACGGAGCATAGATGCTGAAGGATGTTAAGTAATTTTAAGCACAGATCGAATTCTTTCCAATTTCCTGATTTGAAAGGGCAAAAAAAAAAAAGGGGGGGGGATGTCTTCCAAAGATAAGGCAAAGTCCAGAGTTTGGTTAATACTGTGTTTATCCTTCTGATCTTCCCCGAGGATTTAAACAGAACAGCACAACACATGGCATTTGATGGTGAAAAACAAGGGGTCAGCAAAGGCCTCCACAGCTCCAGGCGGATTAGAGAGCAAAGGCGGAACCCCAGCACCTCTGCAGATCGGCTTGTACAGATTCAAGATTATGGAATAGCATTGCTGCTACCAAGTGTGGCCTTGTTTACAACTATAGCTGATCTGACTGCTGAGCATGGTCAAGGTCCAGGATTGTATCACACAGAAACTCATTAAACACTCTAGCAACTGCCTCATGTCCCCTGAGCTTCTCCGTTTGCTTTAACCATATGAACTCTGGAAGCTGTGGTTATGAAGAAACAGACATTTATTTCTTCGACATTTTTTGGTAGCTAGCACATGATTTAGCTTGGCTATATTGCTCCTCCAGCCACATACATTCACCAGATATCACCACAGGAGTCACAAATCTCAATAGCCTCATTACACTTCCTACTATTGCCATACAGATTTCGTAGCCTAGGTTCAAAATCACCATCCCATTTTACTGAGCATTTTGATTTTGTTGGGTTGAAAAGATGCTATTAGTATGAGTTTAAAGACTGCACGTAACATTTTTTCTGAGTCTGAATATGTTAGCCTCTTCTCTTCACTAATTACCTTTCAACATAGATGTTCTTTCCCGTCCCAAGGGAGTACAGGCTGAACAGTATGTGGTAGCATGAAATCTGCACGTCACCCACTGAAAAGAACAAAAAGGACCCGTCATTACTGATTATCCATCCCAACACTCCGCCTCCCCCACACAGAAAGGGCCCACCAACAGAAAAAAACGTGTTGGTATCATCCAAGAACCAAAAGCATTTCTCCCTTTCCTTCTCTTTTTCACAAATATAGCCCCCTTTCTACCCAGATGCTTGTTGCTGAACAGGGAGAGAAAACACTGGCAGGAAAATAGCCTCCAGTGAGCCATCCTAGTTCCTCTGTGGGGCTTATGATGCAGATCACACTGCTTTTCAGGGAAAAGAATCATTTGACCAGTGAGTCCTTCCATTTGGGATTCACCACCACCAACACAGAGAGACACTGTAGTCAAATTTTATCCAGAGTGATATTTTCTTCCTTTGAAAGGAAGAATGCAAGAAATCTCAAGTATCTTTGTTCATTTCCTAGGATGACATGTACAGTGTCTCTACCTCTTCAGAGACAGAGCAAAATTCCTCATGTCCCCTTCTTCCAAGCTCTCTGATGGATGTTTTCCCAAAGGTCAATGAGATCATGATTTGGCTATGATTCCTAATGGAAAGACATGCTCTGCACAGGAACTCCCAGAATTTAACCTGTAGTCCACATGCCCCTGTTGATGTCTGGAACTCATAACAATGCTGGGGCTAACTGAACACAGTGAAAACTAATTTCATTTTTTATTTTTCAATAAGCAGGTACATTGTTTCCATGACATGGAATAAGAAGTTTGGACAATCCCCCATCTTTCCCTCCAGCCCCATGGGAATAACTGATTTTCAGTTATTCAGGGATACAGGAGAGACAGCTTTAGCTATTGACAACCAGTTAAATTACATTAAATCATGTGCTGACATTTAAAGTGTGCAACTAAAGCTTGGTGGCAGGATATTTGCCCAAGGGGGCTGTACATGTACTAAAATGCAAATTAAAATAAAACTGACCATCTGTGGTCTTCTGAAGGCTCAGGTAAGGAAATATTAGTAGCTTTCCTTTGCTCCTGGTAGTGAATGAATAAATTAGGGCTTCTTAACAGGAAAACTGGTGTCTGAAAAACCCTGGGAACAAACCTATATCTCCTGCTGGATTGATTACTCAGAAAACCTTTTCAAATTAAGTGGGGATGCCATCACTGAGAGCTAAACTAGCGGGTGGAAAATTCTGGTCCTTAATAACAGTGGGAAAACATGAAATATTATATACTCAAAGCTGGGGATTTCTTCTCCTCCAAGAGTCTACTACCTGATTTTTAAATCTAAGAAGAAAAAAACGTGGAATAATTCTCTCTCTACTCTGCCCTCAAGGGCAACCTCGGTGAATGAGCCACACACGTTCTGTCTGTGGCCCTGTGCATCTAAATCCGTGCCACACAGGAGTCTGACTCACAGAGTAAATCCACCCCGAACTGATGCTGAGCCACGTGCTCAAAGATGGACGTCAGGATGGGGAGCAGCGCCACTGTGGTGTAGTTAATGTTCTGGGAAACGCCTTTAATCTGCGTTCTGGAATGGGTAAACTTCCCGAGCTTCAGGTTTTCGGAAGTCTTCTCTAAGTCCTCCGCAGCATTTTCAAAGAATGCTCGTAACCCGGCCTTCACCAGCTCTGAGCCTGACTTCATGACAGTCCTGTCAGCAAACAAAGTTCAAAACCAGAAGCATATTCTGAAACTTTGGCCAACCAACCCCCTCCCCCCCTTTTTTTTTTTAAAAAAGATTTTATGGGGGAATTGGGGGAGGGGAACAGTGTTGGGGAATTGGGGAAGGAGACCAGCCAAGTTGTTGTTTTTCAGTCTTTGTTTTTCAGCCCACAACGGAGGGTACCAGTCGCCATCTGGCTTCCCATGGGCAACTTGTGACTTCTAAGCTCAAGGTGCCGAGTTCAGTCTTAGTTGCAAGTTGGCGTAGCTCACCACTGAACAGGCAATCTTATTGTTACACCAGCTGAGCCATCCTGTCACCTGTTGGCAGCTCAGCAACAGCTCAGCTCAGGCACAGTGTCACTGGCCCATGTGGGAATCGAACCAGTGGTCCTGTTGCTCAGAGCTTGCGCTCTTAAGCCAACTCTTAACTAACAGAGCCACTCGGCTGGTCCCCCCCAACCCCCTTCATGAAACCAGTGACTTGCACTGCAACCTGGGCAGACATGTGACATTCCCGTCACCCTACAACACTGTGTGAGGAGAGATGGAGGGATCAGTGAGCATCCAGAAAGAAACCCGGATCACACAGTCCCAAAGGGGGCTGGCAACTAGATGCTGTGCTCAGTTTGAGGGACTCTGTGCTGAAGTCTTCAGGAAAACATAGAGAACGACTTAGAATAAAACTGACATTGGTCACCTGCTACCTGTATCATGTTGTGTCTGGCTACATACTTCTGCAAATATCTAATTAAAAGGAGGGTGAGGGGAGTTTTTGTTGCAGCTCTTCATAGGATAAGCAGCTTTTATAAGGCCTAGCTAGAAATACTGGCTCTCCTATGATGTAGGACCTTTTAGGGAGAGAGATCAAAGAAATTAGTCAACTGAAGCTTAGATTTCTGTCAGCTTGCAGGGGTGTCTTAGCTTGGAGGAGGGAAAGGGAGAGGGGCAATCAGACCCTTTTAAAACAGACAGCTTAGTCAGACCACTGAAAAAACCACGTGGGCGTGGAGATTAGCTGTGAGTCTCTGAGGCTTTTCTTCAAAACTATTTTATACAACTTAGGAATGGAACCAAGACTTCGAGTCATATTTTCCATATTTCTACATCTTATTCACAAGATTATGACAGGCTTGTTCCAAGGACGTTGCTCTTTATCTATAGCATTTTCATGACCATCATCCAACCAACCAGAAGAATAAAAACAGGGAAATAAAGTGAGTGAGGTTTGCTCCTAATCCTGTGCGTATTCCTGAGCTACCATATTCCTAACTTTCTAGTCACAGCTTTGCTCAGGAATGGTGATCAAACACAATGACCTACATTTTTTAAAAAAGTGAACTCTCTGTCAAGGCATCCCACATTTCTGGGAGAAAAGATCCCTTGTCCCAGTTGCAAGGGGTTTCAGTCCCCTGGGAGGCTTTGGTCTGATCCTGCAAACTTTGTGCTGTCCTAATATCTCTATAATATGCTTGTTTCTCCCCCAAATCTGAAAATCCCCTTTAATTACCCTTAACTTTTTTTTTTTTTTGGTAACTTTTCTTTGTGTGTGGTGGATTTTCATCTTTTGGCCTCTCTTTTAGGTGGGTGCTGGTCTTCTACATTGGGTTTTAGGATATGTGTCTTCCTTTCAGCTTTGACAAGGGTGCAACATAATATGCTAAAGAAAGCTCCCTGTCAGTCCTTTGCACTGCTTCTCTCTTTTATCTCATCAAATCATTTATGTTTATATAACCAGAATTATATATGTGTGTGTAAACACACACACACACACACACACACACACACACACACACACACACACACACACACCCTCACACGACTTCCTTTCCTCTTCGGCCATCTTGCCCACCAGACCCCTGGGCCATGGGCTCACACTGAACTTTGTCTCTGATTATTTGGTAATCACATCTCTCTGCTTTTCCTTTCTTGGGCCATTCTGACTTTGGAGTGCTATGGTTCCCCTTCCCCAGGATGGTGCGATGGCCTTGCCATCCATGCCACAGCTCTTCCTTTTCTTGTGGAGAATTAGGTGCAAAGTGGCACTTTGCCAAATTATATATTTTGTCTTCTGAAAGATGAATTTCTCAGTAAAAGAAGACAAGAATTGATCAAATGCTCAGCTTTTAGCTTTCAGGATATGCCACGATGGTGGCCTCCGTTATGTGAACTGGAAACCAGGAGTGCTAATGTCAGGGTAAGATTAATCTTTTCCCCGTGTCCCCTCTCTCTCCAGCTCCTATGGAGCTGTGACACATCTTCTTTTCAGTATAATAATGAGTGAGAAGAGAGGGTTAGAGAGGGAGTCTTGAAGAAGCGCTGGAAAAAAATTGGGCAGACTTACCTTGTGTCAAGAGTCTGAGCTAAGATGTGAAGACAGCTCACCATCGTAGTAGAATCACTTCCTAGAATCGAAAATGTCACCTGTGACTCCCCACACCATTCAGCCTGTCTTTCAAATGCAATCTTCTCAATATGCACAAACCACCCACCCAGAAAGTGCGAGGTGTGGGTTCAGAGACAACGCATTTATCTCTGGCCTCACACATCTGCTTCATGATGGATGTTAGAGGCAGAGCTTAAAACATTCATTGGTGTGGAAAATCTGAGCTGTTAAAGGGATAGAGAGGTCATTCATCATACTTCAGACCAATTTTCTGTGGCAAATTTAGGTGACACCTCCGTCCCAAGGCTCAGGTTGTCTGCAGGAGCCACAGACAAAGGCACAAGGTGCGTTCAGGATAATTACAGGGAGGAGTGCAGCCTTTAGGAGACCTCTTTTCACTCACCAAAGAGGGAGATCCTGTGTCGAACAAGAGCAGCAAGTTTGCAGAACAGGCTGAAGCAGAAAAGAATGTGAGTCCGAAAGGTACAGAGATTCAAGGACTAATTTGTGCCTCCCCCACCCTGACACCCATGCTGTAAAACAAACAGCACAGAATGGCACTTTGGGATGGTGCAGTGTTCCGTTCCAGGAATCCTCTGACCACACTAGGAAAACATGTGGTTCCCGCTGTCTCGTTGGAGAACCATGAAAGGGACCTTCCAGACAGCTCCGACCTTACAGAAAACAATCCTGCAACAGTTACAGCATTTTGCAGTGAGCCAGTTGTTGCAAACCATCCCTTGCTAGAACTCTATGTGCTGAAATGTTCATTTGTATGACATTCAGGCAGAAACGAGCATTTTGGAAGGAAGCATATTTTTTCCATCGCTGCAGTTAGATGGCAAACCGTTTTATAGCTTTCACGGTGGGGTGTGAGGCCTTAGTTGGGAGGTGGGCAAGAAGGTGGGACTAGAAGCAAGTTAATGGTTTAGGTATGGGCAACACTGTGCTGAGCCAAAAACGCAGTAAGAAATTGCGTTTGTCCAGGCTTGACCAGGATGCTGTCCTAGCTGTGTCCACGGAAGCTAGGAAAGCCCATCTGCTATGCTCGTGTGCTTTCTGATTCTACTCCATGCTTCCCACTCATGTTTTCTGACACTTTTTTACTTTTCACAGCATCTAATAGAGGGGCTTGTGCAGTTAGCAAAGAGCCCATTAATGTTTCTGAACATGCTGTTGATGAACCGTAGGTTTTAGACTTCAGGGGTGAGAAACTCAGTTATTTCTGGTGAAATGCTTCAAAGCGGAAGCATGCTCTTTATAAATACACAACGACCTTTTTCTAGCTACAGCAGATGGGGTGAGAAGAAACAGATGAACTCAGGGGCAACCCTTGCTGTCAGATGTGCTTTCTGAGGCACCCCAATGCCGGGGCCTGAAATTTCCAAAGGTGCCTCCTTGTCCCTCACAGGACCCCTGATTTAGGTAGAAGCACTGTCAGCCCAGAGTAGTGAGGGACCAGGGTCTCCGGGCACCTCCCTCCCATCTCGGGATTTGAAGGTGATAAAGTATAAGGATCCCACGGGAGAGAGTCTGGGGAGCACTGGCGAATGGCATCCCATACAGAAGAGGTGGGTCAAGGGAGAGGGGTGCAAACAAGAGGGCCCTGGAAATGTGAGCACATTCAGTACAGACACAACTGCTTCTGGGGGAGGGCAGCAAGCGCACGGATGGATCTGAAAGCTATTTGCAAGGCTGATCAGCTCCAGGTTCTATTCCAGCCCTTACAAATGGTGCCTGGCTGAACAAATGTTACATTTCCATGAATTCATAATCTAAAAAAAAAAAAAAGAATAGATGAAGGAAACAGACACACCTGCCCTCTGTTGGATTATCTGAATATCTCACTTTGTTCCCCAATTCCCTAACATCTTACAAAATGCACACTGATGCATCCTGACAATATTTAGGGACTCTGTGGTCAGTAACTGATTCTAAGTACATCTCATTTTGACAGCATGGGTTCCCCCTTTCTTAATAAATGAGCGTAAGTGATTACAGTGCAGAGAAAATGGCACTCGATCTGAGGACTGGGCTTTCCTTCCTGCCCTAACTTACTACCTGGGTCACCTTAGGCACTGCAGTGAACCTGATCAAACCTCAGTTTCATCATCTGCAAAATGGAGATCATAATATGCAGGCAGTTTTCTTAGAATTTAAAGCATCACAATGATACACAAGCGGGCAACAGCTACTACGTATGAAAAATTGAGCTCACTGCTTAGCCATGTTGACTTTCATAGATATGAGCTCAATCCTAAGATTGAATAGCCTCCCAGAGATGGTGATATTTAAAAGCTTGGCCCTTACTAAGTAAAATGTACACTGTTCACCATCAGGGGATGCTAGGGAGTTGATAGTCTGCTTTCATAACAGTCCTCAACTCTTGCCATCTAACCCCTTCCTTGCCATTCGTACATCAAATACAGAGAGAACCTGAGGCATGGTGGAATCCGTCTCTTAGTCTGATTGCACAGCATTACCTGTGTTGTTATCTCTGCTGAGACACCCACATGCTATGCCCAGTGGAATGAGAAGAGGCTGGTGCTTTTGATGAAAATTTTTTTTCTAGTAGGAATTTAAATTACATTATGTTGCTCTAGATTTCAAATCTCAGATCATCCACACCAGAACTTGTAAGATCTGATTTTGTTTTTAAAAAATTTAATCTTAAAAAGCCTGATGAGAATGGGACTGAAAACAATGCTACTGTTTCTTCTCAAGGTTGTGTGTTTGCTTTTCCCAAGCTTCAGAATTACCTTTGCCTTTTCCCCTAAACTTCAGCGTAGAAGTTGACCTGAGTATATAAATTTTCCCCAGGCCCTACTGAAACCCTCAATTGGTGTACTTCTCTTGATTGCCAAATTAATACACAGATAAGTATGAATATATTACTTTGAAAACCAAGGTGATAATCAAAACATCTGCGCTATCAGCCTACAGTTCATTTCTCCAAAAGTCTCACCATTTAATCCCCAGGAATCTGGGGTTTTACATAAGTCACATCAGCACTACGACCTGCTTTTCCTTCTGTAGACTCACCTGGCCACCATTTCTTTCTCCTTATGGGAGGCATACCCGCTGCTGCTAAGGGGCTTCAGAGGGGATGACAGGAAGAAGAGGCGGTGATTGGTGAAGTACTGGTCAACCAGTGGGAGGAGAACCTGGAAGAGCCACCAGAAATTACCTGCTAGGAAGGCATTCAAATTGGTCTTTCGTTTGGTTCCTTTGAAAAAGTTCATTCTTAGTGAGCAAAAAGCCTCTGAACACTGGTCCTGGAATTTCCAGAAAATGCTATCCAGTGAATCTCAGTTTCCAACATATGTTCGTCTTCCATGCCTGAACCTGGAGGCCTTGGGGATATGTGAAAGGACAGGGCCACCAACTAAGGGCCCAAAGAAAAATGAGTAGAGACCCGAGTCAGCACTTTCAGAGGAGTTCTGTGGGTCACCTGCGCTGAGATGTGGCTTCTTGGGCACGGCATCCAACAGGTACACTCTGAGGCCTGGCCGGGCACTACTGGCCTTGTACACCCTGTGTCTGCTTCTCAGAGGACGGCTACCCCAAAGCCTCACATGCAACTAGTCTTCTGAGTAGGGTTGTATGGCAGAGACTGCTTACTGGCACCCAAATTCATTCTTTCCTTCTTTCTCTTAGCAACAGAAAGCCCCATGTTTTAGCTAGGCATGGGCACAAGATCACCCAGCTAGACAATGCATTACCCAGTATCCTTTGCATCAGCTTGCCCTCCCCTTTCCTCCCCCCCCTTCTCACAGGTGTGGCACAGGTAAGCCCGTCTGGACCACACTGACACAGGCTACACCTTAGGAGATGGTGGAGCATCAGAGGAGAGCCTGGGTCCCTGGGTGACGGTGCGGAGCAGAGCGGGCTGCCCACCTCCTGCACCATCCACCTGCCTCGGGACTGTTCCACAGAAGAGAAATATATGTCTGTCTGATTGAAGCCATGGCAATTTTGGATATCTTTGTTACGTCAGCTTAACTTGTACCCTAAACTGTACAGATCCTATGTAGAAAGTGATTTGGTTAAGTACAGAGAGTCTCTTACTTTGGCAAAGAATTTGATCTCCTGGTCATGGGGAGACTTTTCAGTTTTCCCACTGCTGACAATGGCTTCTGCAAAGATACAAGGAACACAAAGTTGGCCGAGTTAAAAAACCAAAACACCAAACAGTCATAGATAACATTGTAGAAACAGAGCAGCTCTTCTAAGCGCCATGAAACGGCCACTTGATTTTACAAAGTATCTTATATTTTACAAAGTACTTTACAGCTTGTGCTGGTTAGTTACTTCTTGCGTCAATTCTCTAAGCTGTTTCACTGCTTTTTTTCTCTATTTTATTGATGAGAAAGGAGCTTTGGAGAGGTTAAGTCATATGCCCATGGTCACAAAGCAAAACAAAGGGAACATTAAAATAGGACAAGTTACATGAAAAATGACAAATGGTTCAATCAAGCCCAGTAGGGAAACCACAGATGAAACTGCTATTTTTTTTGGTGTGGGGAGGGAAACATCTTAGCCACTGTTTCCTCCCCAGAACCATAGGTCTAAATGAATCATGACTAGGTACAGTGTGAAAGCATCACTCCTTGATAATGAAACATCAAACTCTTTGATATTATGAGCTATTATGAGAAGCATACATGTTTGTGATATTTCACAATGATACTTACCCAAATGGGCAATAAACTCTTGAGCAGAATCAACATATTTCAGGATCTTCTTCAAAAATTTATAGGCAAACCTCTTTTCCATGGAGGAGGCATCCAGCTCCATATCCTTCATACCTCTAGGTTGGGAACCGGTAAACCCCAGGAAGTAACAGAGATAACTACGTGACTTTGGTGCACCAGCAATCCTACCTGTGCTGACTTAATTTTCCAAACGTTAATGGTTATTCTGGCTCAGCGCCCTGACTCATCACTTGAATGATTTCCCCTTGCACTTGGCATCTGCTTCTGTGAGCAGGCTACACCTGTACTACAATAGTGTCTGAAAAGATTTTTCAAAAAGATCTTTACCATTCACGGAACAAATATTGAGCTGGGGATACATCAGAGAAGCAAGCAAGGATCCCTGACCTCACGGAACTTACATGCTAGCTGTAGACAAACACAAACAATATATAAAACAAAATAGAAATTACATGGGATGCGGGAAGTTAAGTTTTGTGAAGAAAAGAAAAATTAAAGCAGGATGAAGGGGCCCAGAAGTGCCTGTGAAGTAGGGAAGAGCAGGTTGTAGTGTTAAAGAGAATAATCAGTGTTGCTGTCATTGGGAGGAGGACATCGGAGTAAAGGCTTGAGGCAGGTGAGGAGGTGAGCCGTATGAACATCTGGGAAAGAGCTTTCTGGATATAGGGAGCGGAGGTGCAAAGGTCCTGAGGCGGGAAGATGCATGCCGAATTGAAGGAATATGGCAGAGGCCAGTGTGGGTGGCCTGGAAGTGAGCAGGCAGTGGGGCGGGGTGGAGGGGGACGGNGACTCTGCCAGACCTGACATGACTTCCTGAAGAGCCAAGGCTCTTGGGGTGACTACCCTCTGACCTTGGTTGGCTCTGAAGCCTAACTGCTGTGGTGAAAACGATTGTCTGTACTTCCCTACTGGGACTGGAGTTTCCGTCTTCTCTTTGCTTCCAGTCTGTGAGGTCTGGAGGTGAGTTGCTTTACATCACACTTTTAGAGTATGGCCTTGGTGTAAAGGTCCGCTCATGTAGAGGGGAAAAACCTGCTTCTGGCTCTATCTTAGGAACTAAGACATTCGTTCTTAATCTGAATACTTCAGGCCTGAAAACCAGTCTCACCTCCTGGTCAACCAACCCTAAGGGCTAGAGCCTTAGCTGTGCCCCCCACCCCCCCCACAGGGATCAGAAAGAGCCTGCAGCAAACAGGGGGACCCAGCACATCCTAACAGGAGATGATTGGGGGAGCATTGATGCATGGCAAAGGCCTGGAAGCTTCCTCAGGCTGGGTTCACCAGTTTTTAGATTACACAATGAAATGCAGCTGAAAATGGATGCATACACAGAGGTGAAGAACATGGAGGGGGGTACTTACTTGCACACGGCAAGCAAACATTCTTCTATGGTGTCCCTCTGAGCTTTGGTGAGGGAACGTCCCTTGGAAAGCCTGTATATTGTCTGCAGTGTAGAATCGACCAAGGAGGTACAGTGTTCTGTTCCGGCAAAGAGAGGCGCGCATCGCGTGAGGAGCGGGAGCACGGCAGAGCATATGTACCTATTCAGGGCCAGCACAGCCTCTGTGGTGCTGAGGGAGACCTAGGGAAGGACATGGGGCACAGGTTAATCTTCCCGAGAAGGAGAGCAAAGCTTACCCCACGTACGGAGTTCCCACGAGCTCACACACATACGTGTTTCACAGCAACAGGGTGAACAACTTTGTACCTTCTCATTTGCATTTTAAATGAAAAAAAATCAGATGAAAAGAAAAAAAATGAACTGAAAAGCAAAGGCTGGCTGGCCCTAGCTCATTCCAAACGATCCGCAAACATCCATTCCCCTCAAAAAAGAATTCTAAACCATGATTAAAAATCAGCTGATGATCAGTCTAACCCAACACCCTTGAAGTCTGC